CTTTCTTGTCGTCGACGATGCGAAAAGCGTGGCAGGAATGGGGCGCGGCGCACATCGCGCGCGGCAGTCAATCTGGGCCCGCCCATCCTGACTGTAAAAAATCAATGCAAAGTCTTCGTTTTTGTTCCTCTGAGCATGGCCTGCCTTGTCGCCGACGGTGCGAAATATGTGGCAGCAGTGGGACGCGGCGCACATATGGGATGCGGCGCACATCGCGCGCGGCCGTCAATCCGGGCCCGCCCATCCTGATTGTAAGCAATCAATACAAAGTCTCCGATTTTTCCTCTCAGCATGGCCTGCTTTGTCGCCGACGGTGCGAACTATGTGGCAGGAATGGGACGCGGCGCGCATCGCGCGCGGACGTCCATGCGGGCCGCGGGCCCTCCCATCCTGATTGTAAAAAACATACAGAGTTGCTGTTTTTCCCTGCATCATTATGGCCTGTCTTGTTGTCGACGATGCGAAATGCGTGGCAGGAATGGGGCGCGGCGCACATCGCGCGCGGACTTCTGGGGCAACCCCAAGGCGGGAGGGGCCACCTTACTTGTCAGAAACAATGCCATGCTGATTTTCCCTGCCCACAAGTGTTCTTGTCGTCCACCCCGCAAAAGTGCACGGCGAGAATTGGGCGCGGCACACACCCCTCCCCCCCCGCTCGAAGTGAACGAAATGACCACTTCGCTTGGGCGCCGAGCGAAATTTTCTCAAAGTTGCGCTCCCGCTTTGGCTCGGCGCACGTTTTTAGCTCGCCAAGTCATTGGGCGCCAGGGCGTTCCAGGAGGCCCTGGGGTGACGAATGCCTGGGCGGTTTTTGCTTGTTCAGGCTCTTGGAGGGCCTCCTGAGGCTCCCCGCGGCTTCTTGGCGCTACGACCGTCTGAAGGCCATCTTGGGCGTCTTGGAACGATCTTTCGGCGACTCAGGGCTACTACTACTACTACTACTACTACTACTACTACTACTACTACTACTACTACTACTACTACTACTACTACTACTACTACTACTACTACTACTACTACTACTACTACTACTACTACTACTACTACTACTACTACTACTACTACTACTACTACTACTACTACTACTACTACTACTACTACTACGACTACTACTACTACTACTACTACTACTATAGACTACTACTACTGCTACTGCTATTACTGCTACTACTACTACTACTACTACTACTACTACTACTACGACTACTACGACTACGACTACGACTACGACTACGACTACGACTACGACTACGACTACGACTACGACTACGACTACGACTACGACTACGACTACGACTACTACTACTACTACTACTACTACTACCACTACGCGCCAGCACCCAGTTGCGTCAGCATTGTTTCTTATGTTGTGGGAGGGCGGAACGTGTCCGTGGTTCCTTTCAACATGGGCAGTCTTGTCGTCGACGATGCGAAATGCGTGGCGGGAATGGGACGCGGCGCACATCCCGCGCGGACGTCAATGCGGTGTCCTGGGGTATCCTCCACTCGCACTGGAATGCCCGCGCAGCCCCCAGTTGTGCCATCATTGTTCCTTGCGTTGTGGGAGGGCGGGTGGGAATGGGCATGCCATGCTTGACTCGCTCGAGCTGGCTAGCTTGACCCACCCCCCACTCCCACCCCCCCCACTCCCACAGGGGGGGGGGGGGGAGCCCAGGTAGACGCAGTGCGGCCTGCACGAATCCCCCCGGTAAAGCGACAAGGGAGGACCCAATGCGGCCTGCACGAACCCCCCCGGTAAAGCGGCAAGGGGGGGGTGTTCTAAGCCGCTGGCGGCACCGGGTGCGGGCTGCACGAAACCCCCCGGTAGTGCACGTAACGCCCCGGTAGTGCTGGGGGGGGTTTCGTGCACTACCGGTTCGAGCAGGGACCACGGTTCGAGCAGGGACCGTCCCAGCATTCCTATAGGCCTACCACGACATGTTCTCGCAATGAAGAAATGGTCCAAACAAAAGAACACTGTTGTTAGAACATCAAGCCGATGTGTTCAAGCAAGAGAGCCTCAGTCAGACATGTTCTAAGAACATCTCGTGCAAAGCGCAAAAGGTTCTTAAAACATTCTTTGGTGGGCCTATAGGCAAGCCAGGGCGCCTCGCCCCTGCTTCAAAGATAGAGGATGATAGGCATCGATCTCGAATGGCCGATACATCGCTCATGCATCGTCGACACGTCGTCGATGCAGACCCCCCATGTGTCGTCCATAAATAGCCGATACCCCTGACATCAACGGTGCATCGTGGATGCATAAACCACTCGAGGTCGATGCATCCCTCCTGTACCTCATCCCCACTATCCTCGCCCCCGAAGCATGGGATTCGTGCAGACCTGGGTCCTCGCTGGGCCCGGCCCCTAAGATCAGCACGCGTCTGGCGGGCCGGCCGAGCACGGCGCGGCAACTCTGCGCGCCCGTGGTCGTGTCTGCAAGCGCGAAGGGGGATGGGGGGGGGGGAGAAAGGGCGGGAGGGGAACGGAAAGGGGGGCCTCTGAGACGACGATGACGACGCCGACGCCGACGCCGTCGTTGCGGCACACTCCGCGCGCGCCGACCGAGGGAACGAGAAGTAGGGTCTGAGCCAACTCCTCGTGAAGCATGACGTTGCAACACGAGCGCCCCTCCCAGGCGAGTGCGCCACTTGAAGAGCACCGAAGGAGAGACCAGGATAGAGGGGAACGGGAATATACTGCAAATGAAGCGCTCGGCTGCCTTTCAGGGCTCAGTGGCAGGAGGGAGGGGGCGACTGGAGAGGGGTGGCTCTGGAACCCAACGAGTCGAGAAACCAGGAACCCGGAGCGGCCAGCGCATGATTGCGCCATGCCAAGGCAAGCCAACATAACGCCCCCTCCCGGCCGCCGCGCCTTCCTAATCCTCTTCAAACGCAAAGCCATCGTCGAAATCATCTCCTAGGAATTGCCAGCGGCATTCGGATATTAGGATGGTTATCCCTTCGACACGTGGCGGCCTCAGACCAGCAGCCGAGCATTCCTCTTGAGAATTCTCTCGGGGCGTTCTTGGAGCGTTCATTCCCAAACCATCCTGTGGTGTTGGGTCCTCGTTTTGAAGAGACGGTGCCCCGCGTCTCCTTCCTCCTTCCTCCTCCTCCTCCCTCCTCCCCCATCTTCCCTCACACCCATTTCGGCACACCCCTCACACGTTTCGTGGCCCCATAGGGAGCTCCACCGAAGGCCCCATGGTTGCCGTCCGCATGCGTCCCGAACACCCATTTCGGCACACCCCTCACACGTTTCGTGGCCCCACAGGGAGCTCCACCGAAGGCCCCAGTGCTGCCGTCCGCATGCGTCCCGCACACCCATTTCGGCACACCCCTCACACGTTTCGTGGCCCCATAGGGAGCTCCACCGAAGGCCCCATGGCTGCCGTCCGCATGCGTCCCGCACACCCATTTCGGCACACCCCTCACACGTTTCGTGGCCCCACAGGGAGCTCCACCGAAGGCCCCAGTGCTGCCGTCCGCATGCGTCCCGCACACCCATTTCGGCACACCCCTCACACGTTTCGTGGCCCCATAGGGAGCTCCACCGAAGGCCCCAGTGCTGCCGTCCGCATGCGTCCCGCACACCCATTTCGGCACACCCCTCACACGTTTCGTGGCCCCATAGGGAGCTCCACCGAAGGCCCCAGTGGCTGCGCCCGCATGCGTCCCCACACCCATTCGGCACACCCCTCACACGTTTCGTGGCCCCATAGGGAGCTCCACCGAAGGCCCCATGGCTGCCGTCCGCATGCGTCCCGCACACCCATTTCGGCACACCCCTCACACGTTTCGTGGCCCCACAGGGAGCTCCACCGAAGGCCCCAGTGCTGCCGTCCGCATGCGTCCCGCACACCCATTTCGGCACACCCCTCACACGTTTCGTGGCCCCACAGGGAGCTCCACCGAAGGCCCCATGGCTGCCGTCCGCATGCGTCCCGCACACCCATTTCGGCACACCCCTCACACGTTTCGTGGCCCCACAGGGAGCTCCACCGAAGGCCCCAGTGCTGCCGTCCGCATGCGTCCCGCACGTTTCGTGGCCCCACACCCCAGTGCTCCGGCACACGGCACACCCGTTTCGTGGCCCCATAGGGAGCTCCACCGAAGGCCCCATGGCTGCCGTCCGCATGCGTCCCGCACACCCATTTCGGCACACCCCTCACACGTTTCGTGGCCCCACAGGGAGCTCCACCGAAGGCCCCAGTGCTGCCGTCCGCATGCGTCCCGCACACCCATTTCGGCACACCCCTCACACGTTTCGTGGCCCCACAGGGAGCTCCACCGAAGGCCCCAGTGCTGCCGTCCGCATGCGTCCCGCACACCCATTTCGGCACACCCCTCACACGTTTCGTGGCCCCATAGGGAGCTCCACCGAAGGCCCCATGGCTGCCGTCCGCATGCGTCCCGCACACCCATTTCGGCACACCCCTCACACGTTTCGTGGCCCCACAGGGAGCTCCACCGAAGGCCCCAGTGCTGCCGTCCGCATGCGTCCCGCACACCCATTTCGGCACACCCCTCACACGTTTCGTGGCCCCATAGGGAGCTCCACCGAAGGCCCCATGGCTGCCGTCCGCATGCGTCCCGCACACCCATTTCGGCACACCCCTCGCACGTTTCGTGGGTCCCAGGGAAGCCCCCTGCAGAGGCGACGCTCAGAGTCACGAGTACCGAGAGTCACGCAGACCCAAACTGTTCACAGTCGTATACATACATTTACACTGGGCGTATCCATGCACGCATTCATGCGAATAGAATCAATCGCGCGCAGATTCATTCATAATCAGACTCGCTCGCGATCCGACTCGCACGCGCTCAAGCTTTCATATTCGGACCTATCGTCTTCGTTCGTGTTGTGTACACTGCCACGCCTTTCGGCACACCCCTCATACGGCTCGTGGCCCCATAGGGAGCGCCACCGAAGAAGATATTCACAATTGCGGTACTCTCAACTGCATATGGTTGGGTCCTTCGCCAGGCTAATTTTTTGCGGCGCACGACTTCCCCGGACAACCACGTTCCGAAAGTGGGCCGCTGGTGCCTACAATTCGACCCGCTACTCCTTATTACTCGACGCGCTATCAGTAGGAAGGGTTCCCCTACGCTCGACGGGTCTCGTCAAGCTAGCGCGGAGCATGCGAATAGCGAGGAGCGATGCGGGAAGGCTCGCTCAGCACATGTGATTAAAAACAAGTTCAATGACGCTACCGAGGAACCCCACATATTTATATTATGGCTGGAGTGATGATAGCTGATTTGCGGGAGACGGAGGGGCGTTCTTGGAGCGTTCTTGGGGGCCGCTGGGGTCGTCGTGCTGGCCTGGGGCCCCCTTCAGCCGTCTTTGGAGACTGGGGGGCCGTCTGGGGGCCAGCTTGGACGCTCCCTGGGGCTCTCCTGTACGTTTTTTCCCAACCATCCTGTGGTGTTGGGTCCTCGTTTTGAAGAGACGGTGCCCCGCGTCTCCTTCCTTCCTCCTTCCTCCTCCTCCTCCTCCCTCCTCCCCCTCTTCCTTGCGTTTCACCCGCCCAGTACAGCGTTTCGTAGCCCCATAGGGAGCTCCGCCGAAGGCCCCAGTGCTGCCGCCCGCATGCGTCCCGCACACCCAATTCGGCACACCCCTCACACGTTTCGTGGCCCCATAGGGAGCCCCACCGAAGGCCCCAGTGCTGCCGCCCGCATGCGCCCCGCACACCCACTTCGGCACACCCCTCACACGTTTCGTGGCCCCATAGGGAGCCCCACCGGAGGCCCCAAGGCCGACCATGCTGTGCCCCGCACACCCAATTCGGCACACCCCTCACACGTTTCGTGGCCCCATAGGGAGCCCCACCGAAGGCCCCAGTGCTGCCGCCCGCATGCGTCCCGCACACCCAATTCGGCACACCCCTCACACGTTTCGTGGCCCCATAGGGAGCCCACCGAAGGCCCCAGTGCTGCCGTCCCGCATGCGTCCCGCACACCCAATTCGGCACACCCCTCACACGTTTCGTGGCCCCATAGGGAGCCCACCGAAGGCCCCAGTGCTGCCGCCCGCATGCGTCCCGCACACCCAATTCGGCACACCCCTCACACGTTTCGTGGCCCCATAGGGAGCCCCACCGAAGGCCCCAGTGCTGCCGCCCGCATGCGTCCCGCACACCCATTCGGCACACCCCTCACACGTTTCGTGGCCCCATAGGGAACCCGCCGAAGGCCCCAGTGCTGCCGCCCGCATGCGTCCCGCACACCCAATTCGGCACACCCCTCACACGTTTCGTGGCCCCATAGGGAGCCCCACCGAAGGCCCCAGTGCTGCCGCCCGCATGCGTCCCGCACACCCAATTCGGCACACCCCTCACACGTTTCGTGGCCCCATAGGGAGCTCCGCCGAAGGCACCAGTGCTGCCGCCCGCATGCGTCCCGCACGCCCAATTCGGCACACCCCTCACGCGTTTCGTGGCCCCATAGGAAGCTCCACCGAAGGCCCACACGTTTCGTGGCCCCATAGGGAGCTCCACCGAAGGCTCCAGCGGCCGCGCTCACATGCGCACCCGCCACCCATCCCAGCACGCCCCTCACAACAACAGGTTTCGTGGCCCCATAGGGAGCTCCACCGAAGGCCCCAGTGGCACCGCCTGCATGCGTCACCACCCGCACCCAATTCGGCACACCCCTCACACGTTTCGTGGCCCCATAGAGAGCTGCACCGAAGGCCCCAGTGGCGGCGCTCACATGCGTCCCCGCCACACATCCCAGTACACCCCTCACGCGCTTCGTGGCCCCATAGGGAGCTCCACCGAAGGCCCCAGTAGCGGCGCTTACATGCGTCTCCGCCACCCATCCCGGCCCCCCCCCCGCAGCAGCATCATGTTTCGGGGACCCATAGGGAGCTCCACTGGAGGCCCCAGTGGCGGCCCGCACATGCGTTTCCGCCACCCATGTCGGCACGCCCCGCGCGTGTTTCATGTCCCCATAGGGAGCTTCGCCGAATGCCCCAGTGGCACCCATCTCGGCACACCCCTCACACGTTCCGTAGTCCTATGGGGAGTTCCATTGAAGATGAAACCCGCAGCTGCGGTACTGACAACTGCATATGGTTGGGTTCTTCGCCAGGCTAATTTTTTGCTCGGGGTGGGTCGGGGGGATTTCACGGAACAGACCGCAGAAAAAAACTGCCGCACGCGTCGCTGCCGTCCGGCCGTGCGCTCCGTCATACGAGTCGGACAGGCGCAGAACCGGATCCGTCAGCGACACACTGTGGGCCCAAGTGCCCGTTGTACTTGGCAGCGGCATCGCTCTCAGAGAGACACTGTCTGCTCTGCGGCACATCGGTGTAGCTCGTCTGGAACACCGTCTTCCCGATTTCCTCCAGGCGCGACTTGAGCCTGGAGAAGACGTGCGGATACTTCTCCTTGACATCGGTGTGCTCTGTCGGATCATCGAAAAGATTGAAGAGGCAACCCGAAGGACAACCGGCGTCCATGTAATTCTTGGTGCCGTTTGGATGCAGCGGTCCAGTGAAGAACCCCAGACCGTGCTGCTGCCCGAAAACCACTTTCCAGCGCCCGCCGTCCGCAATGAGGGCTCCCTGGTCATACTTTGAGGTATCCATAACACCTTTGGTCGACGATACGCAATCGTCAGGGGCGCCACCGACGTTCGTGCAAAATGCCAATGCGATCTCGTCTCTCGCAGACGCGCTGGCGTTCGGCGACGTGATGAAGGGCCACTGATCTACACCGTCGATCCCTGGGACGCCACTCCCAGGAGACCCATTCTGGATCCGCTGCGAGTCGTCGACAGGGTCCACCCCCACAAGCGCCGAGAGCGTCGCGTACCAATCGGCGATGTGCATCAAGCCTGTGTGCACCTTGCCCCGAACGCCAGGGGGCACGTAGCCGCCGCCCACGAATGCAGTGACGCGGACGCCGCCCTCGAAATCGCTCGTCTTGCCGCCGCGCAGGGGGTAGTTGTTGCCACAGCTGGCGCCCCTGGTGGGGGCGCCGTTGTCCGCTGAGAAAATCAGCACCGTGTCGTCCCAAAAGCCTCGCTGCTGGATGGCCGAAGTGAGGTTTCCGATGCCCTCGTCCATGATGCTGGCCATTGCAGCATATGTCTGGGCGCACCTGTTCTTGATGCTGGGGTCGCGGTACTGGCTGGGCACCTGATACGGCTCATGCGTCACACCGAAGCGCACGTCCAGGTACAGGGACTGGCCAGACGATTGTGGGTCCCACCTGTCTAGTGCAGCAATTGCGTGTTGCGTGTCCCTGAATACGGAGAAGGTGCCATTGAGGCTGCTATCGGCGGGGCCGTGGTCGCGCCACAGATCCACATACTTGTGCGAGTAGCCGTCGAAATCCGACTTCTGGGTGTAATGGTCCTCCATACCCTTTAAGAATCCCAAGTGCGAATCGTAACCGCGATTGATCGGGAGGTTCGCAACCGATCGTGCACCAGAATGCCACTTTCCGAACAGGTGCGTCTGGAATGGCGGATCGGCCTGCTTCAACTTCTGCGGCAGCGTGGTCATGCGAATGTCTGCGCCGGAGGTAGACAGGAGCGAATTCGCGTTGTTGTTCTGATTCACGTGAATGGGCAGGCGGCCGGTCAGCAATGAGGACCGCGTCGGCGAGCAGTACTTGAACACGTAGTGCCGGTCCAGTCTCACCCCAGACTTCGATAGCCTGTGCAGGTTCGGCGTCCTCGCCGCCGCGTTGTGGGCGTCCATGTCGACGTTCCACCAGCCGTAGTCGTCCGCGACGACAACGAGGATCACCCGCGGAGGCGGCGCGGCCACAGTGCCGAGGAGGCCGCTCGCGAGCAGCAGCGGCCTCATCCTGCAGGGCGCCCGCGGTGCGGCCAGGGGAGGTTCTGGACGGCCTCGGTCCTGCAGCCTCTGCAGGCGGAACGAGGAGGGGCCCCTGGGGGCAAAAGGAGGCAATGCAGGGGGACGACGCAGACGAGGGCGAAGAAGCAAGGAGGGTTGAGGAAGGACCATGGACCCTGGGCCCCTTCAGGACCTTGGAACACCCTCCTCCTCCCTTCCCTCGCCTCCATCATTACCTGTGCCCCCGTCTTCCCGTAATACGCATTGAATGTGGAAGTATCTATACACGCGGAAACTGTGCATTACACAGGCCATGCAACATGCATCATAGGTACGGTGCATACGCGACTCATCACATGTCAGATTTGCTTCGCACATGACATGCATAGAGCTTTACACTCATATTATACTTAACATAGGCTCTTCGTTATACGACGGAGGGTCGTACCTATCGTATTCCTCATTTCGCACACATATTACGTCTCCCATTTCTTCTATATCCTATTCATGTGGCATCTCATACTTATGAACCCACAAATCTCTCAAATCCGCCACCGTGCCTCTAGAACGAAGTGGAGTGCCCCCAGGCTCATGCAACCCTTAGAGGTAAAAGGTTCGTAAGGTTCCTAAGGGCCCAGACCCCAAGTTTTCTGGGCGGTCGCGTGGGCCTTCGGGATAGTCCCTCGCTCAAGAGGGCCCCCAAACGGGCCAAGAAAGCCTGGGGAGTCTGCCCAGACGGTCGAGGAGAGCACATAATCGCCGAAAGATCGCTCCAAGACGCCCAAGATGGCCTCCAGACGGCCCCTGAGTCCTCGAATATTCCCCAAGAAGCCGTCAAGCGCACTTCCAAGAGGGCCCCAAGAGACGACAATAAATGATTTTCCTCAGGTTTTTGAATGAGTTTGGCGTTCTCGCCTTTTCGGCTTCCCGACGCTCCAAAATGGCCCAAGATGCCCCCCATGCCGCCCAAAGACAACCGAAGATGCCTTCAAGAAAGCCTCCAAGAAGGCCCCAATACGGTCCAAGAGGCCCCCAAGACGGATCCAAGCGGGGAGCCAGACAGGGGCACCGAACTGACATTCTCAGCCCTCGGCCCCAAGAGGGCTCAAGAAACGTCCCATTGACTTCCCATATCCCTTCCCATATCCCTTTACATTCCATTCTCTGCGCTGCGTCCATTACTGCTGTGCCCCAATTTCTCTCTCTCGATGCTCTCTTAACTCGCAACATGAAGCGTTATGACATTGGCACTCCTCTCGGTGGTGAGCGGAAGCAGACCCGTACCGAATCGCCCCTGAAGCAGATGGAAGGTTTGGACGATGCCGATCGTCCAGCGGCTGCCACAGGCGAGGTGTAGTCCACCATGACGCAGATGATGCAGGCAATGATGAAGGATATGAAATATGAAGGACCTTCGGAAGGATGTGCAGGGCATGGCTCGCGAGAAGAGGGGGGCCCCGAATGAGGCGAAACAGGCGAAGAATCTGGCCACGTCCGCGAAGCAGGCTGCGCTGGAGGCGAGCATGACCGTCAGCAGCGTGGAAGACAAGGTGAACAAGCTCCCCGAGACGTTCATCACTAAAGATGACGTGGCGAAGATGATAGAGGAGAGCATGTCGCAGTGCACGACTCCCGGAAACTTAACTTCAACGTCCAATCCACATTCTGCTGTTGCTGTCATTGGGAACGTGCTCAACGCGACGACCTTTGATGAGGCAGCTAAGTGGGCTATTACTTTATGTACTGTTTCAATGTCCCAGTGCCCATTCCGAGCAACATGTTTTGCAAGAGTGAGTTCATGGGCGTGTGTTTCATCAAGTTCGAGTCCGACTCAGCGCGCCAGGTGTTCCTCGATACGGTCGATGCTTTCACGACGGTGCAGCCTGGGGTTTTTGGAAACAGCGTCTGGGCGAAGCCAAACCTCCCCATCGAGATCCGCGCGCAACATGGGGTCGACCTGGAATGGGGGAAATGGGATGCATTGCAGTCGCCAGGGGAGCTTTCCGAGATCACCACGGCGGCAGGGGCGAAGCTAGACAGGGCGAAAGCCTTCAGCGAGAGTAAGGGCAAAGGGAAGGGTGGTGGCTCCATGTAGGGGTCACGGCGGTGCGCAGACAGACGGGAACTTTCAGCTTCACCCCTCGCGGCGGAGAGCGGCGAGGACGCCAACATATTCAACTAGAACCACGCGCGCGCTTCGCGCGCGCTTAGGTTCTAGCTAGGAGGCGAGCTTGAGTCAACGAAAGTCGCAGGGAAGGGGGCAGGGGGAAGAAGGCCAGAGAGCGCTGAAGGATACAAATACTGGAACCCTCTTGTGATTTTGTGGGGGGCCTCGTCCGGCCGCTCGCTGGGAGTTTGACGTAGCTTCTCGGGAGCCTCTGAACCTGTCGGGGGCCTCCTGGAAGCAGGTTCGAAGCATTTTGGGGGCCGATTTGGGTCTTCTCGGGGCCTCCTTCGGGCCTCTTGGGGGTCTCCTGGGGCCTCTTGAGGGGCCTCCTTGGGGCCTCCTGGCGGCCTCTTGGGGCGGAAGGCTCGAGCTTGCGGTTCGTGGTCCCCCTCTGGGCCCCTCTTGGGCCCGTTTTGGGGCCCTCTTGGGCCATCTTGGGCGCCTCTTGGGCCGTCTTGGGGCCCTCTTGGGCTGTCCTGGGCCTTGGAAACTTTTGGGCCGTCTTGGGGCGGTATGGGCGCCTCTTGGGCCGTCTTGGACGCGGTGAAAGCCCAAGAGGCGAACATGCGAAAAATATACGTTTTCCCATAGGAATGCACGATTTTGTGCTTCTTGGGCTCTCTTGGCTGCCTCTTGGGCCCGTCTCGGGGCCCTCTTGGGGCATCTTGGGCACCTCTTGGGCCGTCTTGGGGCCCTCTTGGGCTGTCCTGGGGCCCTCTTGGAAGCTTCTTGGGCCGTCTTGGGGCGGTCTTGGGCGCCTCTTGGGCCGTCCTGTAACGTCGGAAAGCCCAAAAGGCGACTTTGTTGAAAATGTACGTTTTACGAAGGGAATGGGCCAATTCTTGCGTCTAGGGGCCCTCTTGGGACGCATGTTGGAGGCTTCTTGGGGCCTCTTGGGGGCGTCCTTGGACGTCTGGGGTCTCCTGGGGCCTCTTGAGGGGCCTCCTGGGGGCCTCCTGGCGGCCTCTTGGGGCGGAAGGCTCGAGCTTGCGGTTCGTGGTCCCCCTCTGGGCCCCCTCTTGGGCCCGTCTTGGGGCCCTCTTGGGCCATCTTGGGCGCCTCTTGGGCCGTCTTGGGGCCCTCTTGGGCTGTCCTGGGGCCCTCTGGGAAGCTTCTTGGGCCGTCTTGGGGCGGTCTTGGGCGCCTCTTGGGCCGTCCTGTAACGTCGGAAAGCCCCAAAGGCGACTTTGTTGAAAATGTACGTTTTACAAGGGAATGGGCCAATTGTTGCGTCTAGGGGCCCTCTTGGGACGCATGTTGGAGGCTTCTTGGGGCCTCTTGGGGGCGTCCTTGGACGTCTGGGGTCTCCTGGGGCCTCTTGAGGGGCCTCCTGGGGGCCTCCTGGCGGCCTCTTGGGGCGGAAGGCTCGAGCTTGCGGTTCGTGGTCCCCCTCTGGGCCCCCTCTTGGGCCCGTCTTGGGGCCCTCTTGGGCCATCTTGGGCGCCTCTTGGGCCGTCTTGGGGCCCTCTTGGGCTGTCCTGGGGCCCTCTTGGAAGCTTCTTGGGCCGTCTTGGGGCGGTCTTGGGCGCCTCTTGGGCCGTCCTGTAACGTCGGAAAGCCCAAAAGACAACTTTGTTGAAAATGTACGTTTTACGAAGGGAATGGGCCAATTTTTGCGTCTAGGGGCCCTCTTGGGACGCATGTTGGAGGCTTCTTGGGGCCTCTTGGGGGCGTCCTTGGACGTCTGGAGGCCATCTTCAGCATCTCGGAGCCCTCTTGGAGGCCTCTTGGAAGTTTCTTGGGCCGTCTTGGGCGCTTCTTGGGCCGTCTTCTTGTCTGACTGGGGAGGCCTCCGGCAAGCCCCGACGAGCCTCCGGGCCCCCCGGGGTGCACATTTGCGGTCGGGGTCCCGGCCCCGGGCCCCCGGACCCGGTGCGCCGTTATATGTATACATGGGCCGTGACAGTGTTGTGCGTGTTTGTTCTTGGAACATTGAGGGTATGACAGAGTTGAAATTCGTTTAGATTTGCAATTACATGAGTGCGCAGTCCGTTGATGTCATGTGTTCACAATAGACACGTCAGTCGAATTCTGATCATTATGACACCGAGGATGGCTACTTGGTGGTATTGTCAGGCACGGCAGGGGCGCATCCCGAATTTGTTGGTGTTTCGTTATCGCTCCAAACTTTCGTTCGCGAGTGTGCGGTTACTGGCAACTGGACAGCCGCACTGCCTCCATCAAGATCCGCAGTGGCGTTGGGCGGCGCACGCTATGCACTGTGTACGCCCCGCACAACGACAAGCCGACGGACGAGAAACTGAGCTTTTTCGACCGCCTACACCGTCATCTGGTGGCACACCCTGGTTATGGCCATCGGCTGGTGTTCGGCGACTTGAACGCCAGACTCGGTGGAAGATGTGCTGGCGAGGAGGGCATGTGGGCGAACACTAGTTCGGTCGGGAGGCGGTGAAGAAAACAAAGGTCCCAAACCGCGATTTGTTCATGGAGCTATGCACGGATTTCGATTTCACCGTCGCGAACACCAAAGCTCAAGGCTACATGCCACGAGCCTTATGTCCGGCCTGGTGGCCCCAGCACGGCCAACGGTCACAACGCCCCTGACCTGCTGCTGGGCCCCGTACCTCTGGAGAGGAACCTGCTGGACATACGGAGTGACACGACGAGCACCCTCGCATCTCGCCATTATCCAATGCTGGCAAATTTCATGACGGGCGAAACGGAGTCAAGACAGGAGAAGAAGCAGAGGCAGAGGCGCAAACGTAAAGATTGGGGGAAGCTCCAGTCACCTTCTGGTCGAAAATCTTTGTGGCAAGAGGTTTCACGATTGACTACGCCGTTGTCTCGCTCTGGTTCTTTTCTTTGTCCGAGCGCTGGCAAG